TCGACCGACGTGTACTGTCTGAGTGCATACTTTGAGGTATCCACGTAATAACCTTATTATTATACATCTTTTCCTTCCAAGAATACATCATGGGATTGCTGAAATCCAAAATGTTTAGAACAGAATCAGCTAACTTCTTTGTGTGGAGTCCAGTCAAACCCTGGTGTTAGCTATGTTTGTTTTTATTATTAAAGGACGCTTACGCGCGTAATTATTCCATATTTGGAATTTGCATTTTCTAATGTGGTAGGATGAAAATACCCGTAAAATACCGCAAAATTACGGCACGCTGTAACTTATGGCGTTGCGGTGACAGATGTATAATAATGGTATATATTCTTCAATTTAATATTATTTGTACCCAAGGCCTTATATTACTGGTTTAATAATAAATATATCAAATGTCAACAAAGTAGAACATTTGAAACCTGTTTTTCTTTTGAGAAATTCTCCCAAACCCTAACATGGAAATCTAATTAGTGGTGTAAAACCTGAAGCATTAATCCTTTTTCATTTACCGTATTACCCCGGGCACACGCCCAGGGGCCTGAACATACAAAATCGGGAAAAATTGGGGGTGGGTGCTTACCCGAGGACCACTTTGTACATGTACTTATTTCTTGATTTATGCATGGAGCCTTTTTTTAGCTCCATGATTTATGCGAGGTTTCAATAAACGTGAGCACTCGATCAAGAACTGTGGGGAACACTAAGACACAGAGTCGAATTTCAAGAATAAAATTTGTTTTATGTCAGCGAATGAAGTTGTATTACTCACTGAAATTAGCTACAAAGAATGGTAAGTATTGTAACCAATGCACGGTTACTTTTGTAGTACCGGTAACCGTGATCAGTGCAAGTCGAAACGGCCGGGAAAAACTACCGCTTGTAATCCAAGATGGCGATGACCTCATTAGCATAATTTTGTTCACGCACGTATTGATATATTGCATCGTAATTACTGAAGAATAGCAGACAGGGTTATGAAACAAATAAACCTTTTATTACTGATGGGAAATGTTTATAAACTAGTGTGAATACATAAACATATCCAAATGGCGTTACATAAAAAACAGACTGAAAATAAACTCTGGTAGACCTCATTAACATGATTTATTCACGCACCCACACATGTGACAAAATTATGAAAATAACGTACAATTTTCTTTTTGTTTTATATTGCAGTTAGCCAACATTCTACTCTGGCCAGCAGTCCATTGTTTAATGGATTTTTTTTAAGTGCACAACAAGAGACACAAAGACAAGAAGCTGAAGATGTTTCTGTAGATGTTTATCTTTTGAATGGACATAAGATAACTATAAAAATAATGTCCACGGATCAGACTGATGATGTGCTAGAGGTATGTGGTGTCTATGATTGGTTTAAGCTGCCATCAACAAGTACACTAATTTAAAGTAATCTGAAAATTTCTTCTTCACAATTTGCTTAAAATATTTTTTTTAGGCCTAAAAAAACCAGTTATATTTCTGGTTAGCGTGCACCACCAAAAAATATACGGGACAAACATTTTTGTCACTTATTTGGCAACTACTGTGAACTTTCTGTGACTTAGCTCCACTTCCGAGAAGAGAAACATTTGCCCAAAATTTTAACCATAATGTATTATCAGAGTTTATCGATGTCATCGTCATAGTGATGAGGCTACTTGTGATTTTTTCTTAGACTGTAGCGTCACAGATCAATTTACCAGATGACTTTGTTTACTACTTTGCCTTATACCTGGTTAAAAAGGACTCAGATGGAAGTTTTTCAAGTAAGTGCAAATTTATATTTTAATTTAATATTTAAAAATTGATAATTGGGAACATAGTTGTTGTTGCCTTCAGCACATCATTAGTTGGGTCAATTTTTTGCTGGTAAATCAACACCAAAAAGGCTGTAATCCATTACTGGGATCTAGCCATCTGATTGGCTAAAGCCAGGTTAGCATTAATGACCCATGTTTCTGCCCTAAAACTAGTAAACTGTTTGAATATCAATCTGATCCAAATAACATCTGATACATATAACAATTATAATGTCTCAGTTTATGTAGAAAAACAGTTTGTCATCAGTTTTACTGCAAGTTAGTTGAAATATGCTAGAATTTTTACCAATTCCACAATAAGAATGTTTTACTTTTCTAGTTGTCCGAAAAATGCAAGATTTTGAGTCTCCTTTCATCTCACTGAAGACAGCTGGAAGCAAACACAAAATAGTTCTTCGAAAAAAGTAAGTTGCCTGAATTCATTAATTTAAAATAATCTTAGACACACAGTTGTATCTGTGATTAATTTCTACACTCATCCAAGTTTTCATTCAAGTTCTAACTAAGTGGACCAGACTTCCTGTAAGATACTTTTTGATTGGCTGAACCAGACTTCATATAAGATGAATGATGTGATTGGATATGATATGAAAACAGTCAAGGCATTACTAAGTTATCTATTCATTCTTGGTTGCAGTTTTTGGGATGCGACCTATGATGATGATCTTTTAGACAACAGAGTTTCAATGAATTTACTTTATGTACAGGTATGTAACAACATTGGTGATAGGCTAGATTTGGATCCCAGCTCTGTTATGTGTAACAACATTGGTGATAGGCTAGATTTGAATCCAAGCTCTGTTATGTATGTAACAACATTGCTGATAGGCTAGATTTGGATTCAAGTTCTGTTATGTATGTAACAACATTGCTGATAGGCTGGATTTGGATTCAAGCTCTGTTATATATGTAACAACATTGCTGATAGGCTAGATTTGGATACAAGTTCTGTTATGTATGTAACAACATTGCTGATAGGCTAGATTTGGATACAAGTTCTGTTATGATTAACTGTCATATCCGGGGCACTATTGCAGGTAGCAACTTTTAACAAGTTTCTAGTGCTTTATTGAAGACATTGGGCACATGATCAGATCAATATTATCTGTAGCACTATTTCAGATTTAGACATTCAACCAGTGTTTGTAATAAAGGATTTTCCGTCTCTGACGACTTTCTTGTTTGTGTGCTCTTTCTCTCAGGCTGTCAGTGATATTGACAGGGGTTGGACCCTGGCTAATAAAGAACAGATGGCACGACTTGAAGTACTCAAATCAAAAGGCTCCAAGAAGGAGGTAAAGTACAGTCTTTTTTCTGGTCTTGGAAATATTTATTACTGATCATTTGTATCTCGGTTTTTTGTTTTTAAACCTCTTTAAAACAAACTCAACTCAGACTAAATTATTAGGCCAATGTACGCTGTATGTGTGTGCCACAGACTCAACAGGGGGACCAAGGCCACTGTACTCTAAGTGAGTGTGCCACAGACTCAACAGGGAGACCAAGGCCACTGTACTCTAAGTGAGTGTGCCACAGACTCAATGAGGAGGCCAATGTACCCTGGTTGACGGTGCCTCAGGCTCTCTGGCCAGGCCAAAGTCCATTCAGTAAGGAACTACACTTCTAATAGATTTTAAATTCTGTTTTGTTGCAGTATTTACGGTTGGCACAAACACTAAAGTATTATGGTTTTATCCAATTCAAACCATGCACCAGTGATTTCCCTGTGAAAAATACCAAAGTACTTGTCAGTGCAGGAAACAGGGAGCTAAGCTTCCGAGTTTCAGATCCAGATGGTCAAGTGAAAGAAGGCAGTTTTAAAGTTACTAGAATGAGGTGCTGGCGGATAACAACAACTGTAAGTGGAAATGAATATTCATGTG